TCTCTCTCTCTCTCTCTCTCTTATGAATGAGCTAGAGAACAACGGGAGCCTACCTTAGCAGTTAGGGAGTTACAGACCCTGAAAGGAAACTTGGAACAACGCAGGGACCTTCACGTACGATGTATATAAAGACTTTCAGAGAGGAGAAGAGACAGTGGCAACAGCATTAGATCTGGAAGATGTTTACAATCATGTAAATTATGAGAGGCTAATGTGTGCCCTTCTAGATTGCGACGTGAATCCGTGGATTGTTGGGTGGATTGCAGGGGCAATGCTAGAATGAAAAGTGGCTTTGCGAAGTGGTCAATGGATTTCAAGCCCACAGGTGATAAGACCAGGACTCCCACAGGGCTCATCCTTATCGCCCATACTGTTCAATGTCTACACTGCTCGTATTGCAACGCAGAACAGCGTTGGGCCAGGGAGAATACTAACATTTGCAGATGACATCTTGGTCTACAGGCAAGGACAGGATCGGCAAAAAATGACACATGAATTACAGCAAGAGGTTGAGAAAATCATGGAGTGGTGTGCTGAATCGACCGCACTGATCAATCCTCAGAAGGCCGCAGCACTGTGGTGCTCTTTAAACAATCGAATAGTAAAGTCAGACGTCCCAGAGCTGACGGTAAATGGACTGAATATTCAAAGATGTCAGAAGATGCGGTATCTGGGAGTGTTTTTCGATCGCTGTCCATCCTTCAAAGACCACATAGGAAAGTTGTGAAGGTGTTGTTGAAAGGGCAAAGAAGGGCTTGAATGCAGTGAAGGTCATGGCGGCTTCAGGAATGGAACAAAGGCTACTGCTTCTTATGTATCAGCAGCTGGTCTTTGCAGTAATCGATTATGGGCTCGGAGTATTGACCTTGACAAAAACCCAAGTGGACAAGTTGGATCGAGTTCAAAATGAAGCCATGTGCATCATATTAGGCTGCTCCAGGGATACGCCAGTTATCTGCATGAGGCATGTACTGGGCCTCATGTCAGTGGAAAACAGACACAAAGTGGCTCAGGTCAGGGCGTACATGAGGGTGGCGGCTAATAAGCAACACTGACTTCACGAAGTCATTGGAACAATCAGGGGAAATCGTCTAAAACGAGGAGCTTCTTGGATGGCTGAGGCTGAAAACATCATCAAGGAAGTCTGCCCACTAGAAGATATAAAGCGGCGTGAAGAATGGATAAAGATGAATGAGAGACAACAGGGAGATTTTGGGAAGGTAGTGATTATGCTGAACAGAGAATGTAGAGAGTGGCCGCAGGGGGCAACAGATGCTGAGATACGACAACTGATTGAAGAAAACTCACGGCACAGAAATGTGATTGTGTACACGGATGGATCTGTTAAACGAGCGGGAAAATCTGGATGGGGGTTTCTCAGCAAGAGTGAGTGGCAGATTGGTGCAGGAACAGCAGAGAGCATACGATATGATACCATCTAGCATGAGAATGGAGATAGAGGCAATCACTCAGGATCTCAAATGGGTCACAACAACTCGTCAAGCACATGTGATCGTTGTCACAGACTCTCAGAGCACTCTGGGAAAGGTTGAAAGTGGGAACCTTAGAGCTGAATAGACAGAGCTCCTGAAAAAGACAACACTGAAAAAGATCACGTGAATCTTCACCCCGGGCCATGCTGGAGTCAAGGGAAATGAGCGGGCTGATGAGCTCGCTGGAAAAGCAAGACCTGAAGGGAAGCTGTGCCCTGACAAACCTAAAATTGCACGTTCAGTCAGGAACAAATGTGAAAAAGAACAAGAAGAGTCGGAATACCATCATCTTGAGCGACTTCGTGAGCTTGGAATTGAATGGGGCGCCAGCAGAAGTTCAAGACTTAATGGGAGGAGCAGAAGGCTATGGAATCAACCATTACTTGGAACCGTCAGCATCTACACATTTCGAGATGTGCTTCTTCAAGGGACGGCGCCCTTATGGGGTTGCCCCTTGTGCAGTGATGTCGGTCTTTCACACAAGTAAACAAGTAAACAACTCTCTCTCGCTCTCTCTCTCTCTCTCTCTCTCTCTCTCTCTCTCTCTCTCTCTCTCTCTCTTTCTCAGTCCGTTTTGTTTTGACGGTATTAGCATATTTTTTATACAACCTAGGCTAAGATTATTCACACAGTATTGTCTTTACACTTTGTGATTCGTATTTTCTTGGAGTATTTCTGGTATTATGTAATATTCGTATTTCATGCCATGCTCCCCTTTTGCAATATATAATGTACACATACATTGACATAAAAGTTTACACAATCACAATATTCTACATACAATTCTAAATAAGTGGCATGAAAACAATGATCATAGATAAAGGTTGTTTTTAATCATAATCATTTTTCCAAGTCACTCTTAACCCAACCGGTTCAATCAGAAATGTTGCAGTACAGCAGGGAAGTGGGTAACATGTTTTCTCAGCACCGAATGAGTTAAGATGCCTTTTGATGTCCTGGAATACTGCTAGTTCATTCTGTTGGTGATAAAATCGTGGATCATGGTGTCTTCACGATGTGCTTGTTTCTGTCCAGATCTGGGTATCCATGGATACGGTTTATTGACTCCACCCATGCGCCTGGAGCAGCCGCAGTCAACCATGTCCAAGTGGAAAAGAGGGAGAAATTTAAGTTAATAAGAGTTTAAAGGACTTGCAACCCAAAAGGTCAGATAAGTGCCGAAAATTAGAGGTGTCCCAAGAGAGTAGTAACAAAATCGAAAAACATGGAGGATAGATATTGAGGCCAGATGTTTCACAGGAAAGAAGGAGCAAACCACATCGGAGCACTAACCACCCACCAAAGAAGGATAAATCGACATGTGAACAACAGCAAAAAATGAAAAGAAATGCGGCACACATGTATCATATAATATAAAATACTTCTCGTTCTTCGTGAGACACTATTCCTTTGATTTACCGATAACTTTTAACAGTCAGATTAAGCTCAGTGTGACAGTTTTCAAAGTCATTTTGATCATAGCTTTCCCTTTTCTCACATTTACATATTGCATAGAAAGATCTATCCTGTTTTGAATTTTGAAATAAAACAAGACAAATATCTTATAACTGGTTTTTGAAGTTCCGCAGATTGGACGCAAATCGATAAGAGGTAAAATGCAAATCAATGACTTAAAAATAACATCCAGCTCCTTTGTGCACACTGCACCCATGGCCGGAACGCTGTAATATGAGTTCAGGGTCTTTACTTATCTGACTTTTATGTCATCCTGTCATTCCTTTCATGGCATTGGACTGCATACTTTTTCTATTGTTCATTCATTCCCTAATCCAAAAAGCTTATTACTAATGTTATAATAACTTGACTCCCCCCCCCTCCCCCCAAACACCAGCCACTATCACAATCCCCGCCCTTTCCTCTTTTATCCAGAAAAACAGTCCACATTGCATGTTTAAGCGCACAACGACTCTCACATATGGACACAGTAACAAACAAGCACACACCAGCATGCATGCACGCACGCACGCACACACACACACACACACACACACACACA